CCCTCGGCGGCGGCGGCGGCCGCGGTGTCTCAGAGGGGCTGTGCTGTTGTTTTGTCTCCCGGCGCGATGCAGGCTCCAGCACCAGGCGATAGGACAGAGCGGCATGCGGTCGCTGGCAGAGCCCGGCTGCCCGACACACAGCTCGGCCGAGTCTCCGTCCACGGCGGCCAGCCCGACCACCAGCGTCTCCAGTTTGACAGAAAGAGCCGAGACGGGCACCTCCATCCTCTCGGTAACCTCCAGCGACTCGGAATGTGATGTATGATATCGGAAAACAAACAAACAAAAAATCCAAATCCAAACAGCCAAGCACCCTCTCCCCGACCTGAGCAAAACAAACCGAGGCAACCTAGAATCAGGACACACACACGCATGCACGCACACACACAGCCAGGAGGAAAGAAAAGGCCAAACACGACCCAAACATAATAGCAAACAAACAGGGATCAGAGAATCCACCACCACCACCGTCAGCCAACACCACCACCAAGAGATGGAGCTAAAACTTCAACAGTCACAAACGCTGGTGCTGCAGCGGGGGGGTGGGGGGGGCGGGAAATAATAATTATTATATATATAAAAAGAAAAAAAAGAAAAAAAAAAACAAAGCAAAAGTGACAATTGTATTCTTTTTAGGACAAGCACGATTTCTCCTTTGCGCTTTTCCATGGACGCATTTCACCCACTTGCATGATGATGATGATAAAATTTGTATCTGGGAAAAAATATTCTCTATAGAAAAGGAAAACAAACAGAAACCAGACAAACAAATGCAAACTCCGATCGAATTTGTAAAAAAAAAAAAAATAAAAAAAAAATTAAAAAGGAACTCCTTGAAGAGGGAAATAACAAATGTTTATCGCCTTTTTGTTGCCCCTATTTCTCTCTCTTTCTCCCTCTTCCTTTCTCTCTGTTTTTTGTTGGTTTTTTTGTTGTTTTTTTTTTAAGTCCAAGTGATGGTCCAGCCAAGATGCAGTTTTCTGTTTTTTTGTTCAGCAGACAATCATTTTATTCGTAAGCACCTTTTTTTCTACACTTCTGTCACTGCCTGTGTGGGTACTGGTTATAAATGTGGAAAAAGAATAGTTATGACTGTAACAGATTTTTATTTTTATTTCAAAATTTTATATGAATTATGTATATCTTAATGATGCGGTCATTTTCCCAGTTTGTAATATATGTGTAGAAATGCTTGTATATGATATTTGCTCTACTCTTTCTTTCTTCCTCCCCCCTCCCTGTCTATCTCCCTCCCACCCTTTCACTCTCTCTCCTTTTTATTTTCCTTGACTCGGTGTTCCTTGCACAAACTTAGCTGTCAAGATCTGACGTGCTAGGTTTTCAAAAGGGACCTCAGCGATAGAAAAAAAAAAGAAAAAAAAAGAAAAAAAAAGCTTAGGGTGCAACTGTAGTTATCTTATGCAAAAGCTATTTTGAGTATTTCATAGCAGCTTTGGGGGTCTCTTCTTAAACTCCACGTAGGACGCTTAAACTATTGTTTCCTTAACTGCGTGTTTATCTATATGTACAAACTTTCTAAATCAAATACAGTATTCCATTTTCTTATCTATCCAGCGATGTCGGTGTTTTTGTCCGCCACGGAAAAACACGCCCTCCCCGTGGGCGCCTTGCCTCCCGCCCTGCCCCGCCGCGGCCCCGGCTGCGCGGCCCCTGCG